AAGGGGGGGGGGAGAAGCGAGAGGAAAGGGCGCAGCGCGGGGGTAGCTGAAAGCTGTCGCTCACGGGGGCAACGCAACGCGTGGATTACTCGCTTCCCTGCCGGTAGACATTGCGCAATTGAAATCTACGTCGGTGGTCACACGTGAGCACGATCGTTTGCGGCAGCAAGGGTGGACACAACGGAGACACAGAGAGAAAGAGGGGGGGGGGAGGTCGCGTTCGTGCTCGAAATCTACCCGCTGATTTCAAGTATCCGAGCAACCGCGGTACGCCCACCTGTCCAACCCTCTCTATGGACTCTTCGAATTAATCGCGAGTTTACTTTTGCTTTCAAATTCAATCTTACGTTCCGCTGCTCACCGGCCGGCCGAGTTAACGAGAAAGCCCGTTTTCGTTTTCACGCGGCGCAATGTAATTCCGATCGAGCGGGATTGGCCCGTCCCATCGCGCTTTCAGCTCCGAGCTCTTTGTTTCTACTCTGACAGAAATTTTATTCCATTAAATCTGCTCGTTACGGAGACTCGATTCCAAAGTTGAAAAGTTGCAACTCGCGAATGTACGCTCTCATCCGAGATATTCCTGCCGAAAGGAAGAAAATCGACCGCGACTATATTATATAACGTTTCCGCGTTCCCTACTCTGTTTGTGTTTCTCCGTCTCGCCGCGTAACGCTTTAATACTACGTTATCTCGAAAAGTCGCGAGTCCCGCCGGAAATTCCGGTAGTTTATACGAGACGAGATAAGCGATCTTCAGTAGCTACGAACGCTTCTTGCGCGACGGGAGAGCATCTGACACGGAGATTAGGCTAAGCGCGCGCGAAATTGTCTCGCAACGATATGCAAATCGCGGCATAAATGCTAATTGTAATTGCCCATGAAATGAATTCAAGGGTTCCCTCTCGGCGAAGGGTTCGCTTCGTAGCTTTAGCACCGACCTCTGCCCTCCGAGTCCGCCGAGTATCGAGCGACAAAACTTACATACAAAAACGTATGCCGTTCCAAAGTTTCGCATCCAGTTTGCTCCTAGCTGGCCATTACAATGGCTCGTTCGCTTCGCACCGAGCAAAGAAAACTTCGAACACCAACTGAATGTGTGTGTGTGTGTGTTTTTCAACGTCCCGCACGAAAAAAATAATTCCACCCAGAAGTTTTCGGGAGCATCACTCCCGCTCGTGAATCTCGCCTGAGACCGCTTTTTGCTCCCCCCGCGCTTCCATCGCGGACATTCAAAGCGACTAATTGCCGCGGAGGAAACTAAAACGCTCCCGTCGACTCGATCGCGGGGACTCGGCGTTTTTCGGCGAGCGAAATGGAATGATAGGGTTACAAACGTTAATTCGCTTACCCAGTATGTATTGCTAACGCTAATGGGACGCGCTGTGGCTCAGGCAGGAGTTTCCGGACAAAACTCAATAACTCGCGAACACAAAGCTCTCGAATGACCGTTCTTCTGGTAAAAACCGCGCCCAATCGGGGGGCTTTGAAGTCAATTCAACCGTTCCGAGCGCGCGCGACGCATCGTTACGCGCTACGCAGCTCTCCGTCTCACCATGACGCGATGCGCGAATTCAGCTCGCGAAATTGCGCGGGGATTAAGATCTCGCCCCCTCCACCCCCACTCCGAAATCCGGCACGTACTTGCCGTCGGACGAGTTGGAACCATGTCGTTGACAGTTTGTAAATGATCTAGTTTACGACGCGAGAAAGTGAGGGATAGGGTGGGCGCGGCGGCGGGTTCGTATTCTAAAGCGCGGCGGAAGGGGAAAATGGCGGTAGAGCGAGAAAGGGGTGATGAAAGACAGAGAGAGAGAGAGAGAGAAAAGATGAGGAATACGAGATCGGAGCCAAGGACAGAAGGGGTCTTGTTGACTATTCATCTTCATAGTGACAGAGAGCAAACTTTCGGGCCGCTTACACCGACGAGAACGGGGGTATTAAAACCAGTCCACAAATCGGATATTCTCGGGCGTGCTCAGCCGTTATGAACACGCATTTGTCGCGTTCCGCTGGACGATGAAGTCAGATGGACGACTGCGGATGGACGAGGCCGTCCGCGACGTGAATCGGGACGAGCAGGGCCCGCCTGTATAAATTTCCCGCTAACGAATACGTATATATACGCCGGCGCAGCGCTTTTGACCAGCGTTTGATGAACACCGGACCCGCCTCCTCCCGCTCTCCCGGACGAAGGACAAACCGACGGACGGGGCATGACATTTGCATACGATGAACCGGCACGGGCGTTAACTGCTCGGGGACGCGGAACGAGCTACAAGTCACCTGGTACCAGTAATTGAAATGAGGGTAACTTCGAAGAGGGGTCGCGCGCGCGCACGAACAAATGAGGAAGCCGAAGGTTCTTTCAGCAACGGCGCACAATCGTGCGATATTGAGGCGCGATATTAATAAAACTGCTACCCTCACGACAACGCAGGTTCGCACGTGGAGGAAGTAATTGTTTCAGGCGCATGCTATTTACAATCCGACTAAATGCGATTCGCCGTCGCGTTCAGCGGGAGGATTCTCCAGGTGGTTGCGATTCGTTAACGGGCTAATCAGCGGCATTTAATTACGGTGCACGGCGGAGCCGTATTTCGGCAAAGGAGGAGAGGAGAAAAATTCGGGCCTGGCTGAAACACTGGTTAATAAGTAGTACGCCCGACGGAAAGTGTGGGACGAAACGGGTCGCACACGGCTGAAATGCCCCTTGAAACTACGGACTATGAAAGCGGAATGAGACGGCGGGACGGGGAGGCGCGGGAAGTTTAATTAAATATCACACGACATATTATGGGAGGTGGGGCACGCGTGTGGTGTCGATGGCAAGTAACGTCGGGGACACGCCGCGAGACCCGAAAAGTTCGTACGAACGAGCGAACGAGGCGAGCTCGTAGCAACGGCGGGGCTCCACCGCCGGAAGTTAACGGAGGGCGGACCGGCCAGACATTTCAGAACGCGTCATCCCTTTTATAAAGCAGCCAGTCTGAAAATTCCATTCTGCCGACCCTCGCTAGCCTTTCTACCTCTCCCTCCCTCTTTCTCTTTCTCTCTAACTTCAAGGCAGTCGATTGTTGTATCAACAGTTTCTGTTGCGTCTAAACTATATATACTATATATACTATATATGAGCCAATACCCATAGTTTCGCTATACTTGCAGCTTTCCTTTTTCATTGTTGACGTTGGTTGGATTCAATGCTGTATTAATCTTTCAGCACTCTCGCTCTTCCATTGTATCGCTTCGCTCGCTAACAGTTACTCCAATAGTTATCGTATTGCATGCCCGAATTTTAACCCCAGGTTTGAATAAATTCTTTTTCTCTCTCTCTCTCTCTCTCTCATATTCACCTCGCCGCACATCGACGCGGCTGCTGATTCAATTCTCGCCGAAGAAGCGGCATTCCTCGAGCGGCACGCGCGCGACAATTTACCGTTAATCTCATAACGCCGTCAAACGCCTCACTATGAAGATTTCGCCGCGAAGATTCAAGCTGAAACCCGTCGAACCGATTGCAAAGATAGCGAAGTTTATTTGAAACGTCGCACAGGCACGGTTTTATCCCTTTCGCTTGGTAGCACCGGGGGAGTGATAACACGCGCAAAGTATACGTTCGGTAAAACGGTCACGTTGCGGTAACGAGAAAGAGTGCCTTGCAGAGCGCAGGTCGAAAAGTCACATCGCTCCCTTATCCTGCGGAAAGGAAGCTGAGTCTTTGCGCAAGCCTCTCTCTCTCTCTCTCTCTCTCTCTCTCTCCGCTGCGTTGATCCTCGCCGCATCCACTCGCGAATTAAAAGCCCATGAATATGGTAAGGATGCAAATTCGGCCGGTGTTTACCCGGGATCAGTGTTACACGGCAATCTGCATACTCGAGTGTCAGAATACTCGGTGACGCGCGCAACGAGGGGTTGTTTGTGCGAATCAGGTCCCGGTCTGCTCGAGAGATCGTATCGTACACGCGAGACGAGCGTGTCGGTTAATCACGACCCGCAGCATTCCTTCCCGAGGATACGCTCCGGCAGGAATTTAATCCGAAACTCTCGTTAGCGACCTTCTCCGGGAAGTTTCGCGCTGGCCGCCGAGAAAATACGAGACATTCCGCTCGCGTGGGAGTCCCGATCGGAAGCAGCGTCGGGTGCGCGCACGAGCAGCGATCTCGGGAGCCGAGGAGCATCATCCACAACCGAAAAAGAGATGATCCCCCTATTTCGGCATCCGCTTCCGTCGATTAATCCGTTAGCCACTCGCTACCAACCTGTGCGTACCGTTCAATTATCGAGGGGCTCCTCTCCCTCCCTTAGCCGGGCGCTAACTGAGTTGTTACCTCGATAATTCGTACGTCGTAGTATCGGCCGTAACGTCGGGGTCTCGCCGCATTAATTTGCGGCTTGGCGTGAGAATTTCCGCTTAACTAAATTATCCCGAAACTTATCGTCGACACCACTATCACTGGGCAATCAATGCACAGAGTCGGAGCATTACGTCATCGATATTAACTCTTACAACGATATCCCACCGCTGTATCTCGCGAATTTCTAGCCCGGTAAAAACGGTTAGTTCGAGTATTGAAAAGCTTACGTTCGGCTGAGTGAGTATGACTCCGTTTTTAGATAGGAAAGGAAAGCATACGAGGTGAAGTGTCTTTGTTAAACTCTCGCGTGCGCTTCGATCACGTTTAAATAATTACTTTCCTCAGGCGTCGACTGTGGCGCTAATTGTACCGTCCAATGAAATAGCGATAGTCCGGAGAAACAAAATATTGAGACCTCTCATACCTGCTTCTCACGGACTTGCGAAAAAGCGCGCGAATGTTTTAACTGGGAGGAGCGGAGGCGCTTACGTTAAATATTTCGCAGATCCTTCTGTGCCTCGGAGTAAGGAGGTGCTATTTGTGCGTTCCGCTCGACAGCTTCAACGGCTGTTACGTACGTGTACACGGCTCAACCGGAATTACAGCTTCGCGTTATTTCACCCGATGTCGGCTCGAGGTGGGATCTCACCTGTGTAAGGTCGACAATAGTTGCGATTTGCTCGGCTGTAAATCGTCGGCAGGGACGACTCCGCTCCCGGCTCCACGTACGCTTTACTCTTGCTGTCTCTGGGATCGCTGTATTGTTCCACAACCTCGACTTCCGCCTGCAAACAGAACAGCAGATCGTTTCTTTCCGTTCTATCGTTTGAAAGACACGTTACGTGCGACACGGACGTGTGTATGTGTGTGCAATCGGCGTCGGAAATCGCGATCGATCGGCGAGCGTTTCCAGTAAAAGGGCCGCGTAATTTTCATCCCCGACGATATCGCGCCCAAGATCGCCGTGGAAACGACGTTCTCTCTCGGACGCGCTATTATTGGCCCGCGCCATTGTAACAATACTAATTTGCCAGCGTGCTTTCTCCCGACGTCTCGCGCAGCGTGCGCGCACGAACGTTTGGCTTCGTTCCTGCGGGGGGATGCTTTCAGGAAGGGTGGTTATCTCGTTGGAAACTGGCTTCGCTTAAATGTACGCGCGCGAGGAACGTTAACCCGGTGTCGTTTCCTGCTCCTGAATGCAACCAATTGCGGTAATACCTCGGCCGGAGTTTCGGGGGACGTACGCCTCTCCAGTCGTGTCCTAAATGATGATCGTTACTTCGTGAGAAAACAACCGATTCCGCCGGCGGCGCGTGTCCATCTGGCGGATTAATTCCGCAGCGCTCAAATAATCAGCCAAATGACGGCGAACATTAATGTCCCGTCGGCGTATTAAGCCTCCGAACAGTGTAATACTCGTGAACGTACGCGGTAACGTGCCGCGAATTGCGCGACACATTCGTCCCAACGATCTCAATCTGAGGAAAAACGAACGGAAAGAGGTAAACTCCCCTCGACTAAATTCAATCGACCGTCGTCGCGAGAGAGAGAGAGAGAGAGAGAGGGAGGAAAGGGGTTTCCGTCGTATTTCCTGCGGAAGGAGCTCAGCCCCGTCGCGATTACACGACCGGTGCTTCGACGATATTAACGATAGCAATGATAATAAAAGTAATAACGACATCCCGGCGACGGCGGTAAACGGAGAAATGCAGATCTTCGGCTGCTGCGAACGGGAAGGAGAAAGAGCGATCGATGAGAATGTCTTTTCTCGCTCTTTCTCGCGTGATCTCGTTCGCTCTCAGCTATTTCTCGAGGATACGGTGACAGGGGAAAAAAAACGGAAAGAGAGGGTAGCAGGAGGAAGGCGCCAGCGCGAGACGAGCAGACATCCCGGCGATGCACGACGGACGAGAAGGCGACGGCGGGGAAGACAAGTAGCCTTAAATTGAAAGAGCCCAAAATTGGAATTCTCCTGCCAAAGTTGGGCGCCCTGTGCCTTCGGGGGCTGTTTCGGCGACGAAGTCGATTGCTTCCAACCACCTTACCTCACCAGCTCGCGACCTTCCCTCGTCCGCCTCTCGCGATCTCTCCTTCTCATCGAACAGATAAATTCGTGGATGTTTATACGGAAATTACGGGGGACGACTCTTAGAAATACGGAGGCAGCCGCTCGATCGGCTGTCGCAAATCTGATGACGGGCGAAGCCGATTCGAGCTTCCGCGAGTGCAACGCATCCGCCGTTTGTATGTCGCGCCAGTGGTTGCGAAAACGATTATCGCGGGGTTATCGGCGTGAAAAGCCGGGGAGGAGTCAAATTGACGGATTTGACGATGGATGAAATCGACGGATGAAAATGACACGTGGATATAACGACGCCTCATTGACCGCGTAAAATAAATATATTGCTTCGCATCGATGGTAGAAACGCGACGACAAATAATAAACGTATAGGTTTAACGTACAGGTTGCTCCGCCGGAATCGGCGTGATTTTGTTCTGTGCGCAAATTGTTGGATCCCGCTTCGATGTATATTTTCAATTAAACGAAAAGTTACAAATAAATGTAACGTTCGCGAGCAAATTTCGGAATTTTCGCAAAAAATTCAACTCCAGAATAATGAAAAAATACGGATACGCGAAAAGAAGTACACGAAGGGTACTCCCTGTATGCGTCCGCGGAAAATATCGTGTCGAACACAATGCCGTCGAATGCAAATGGTGCCGATACGAATCACAACGGTTCATGCTCGGTTGTATAATGCTGTTCGATCTATCGAGGGATTTAATCCGATTATTTGGTCATTGCGTTATAATTGAGCATAATTATCAGGAGGCCTAATCGCCTGACTTTACTGTATGTAAGGGTCTTAATGGTGCACGATCAATCTTTGCGCTATTATCGTACTGCATTAATGATCGGGGAGAATACATTGGGATTATACGAGCCGATTTTTATTTATTATAATTTATTTTTGTGTGCCATTTTCTATACTGTAAAAAATTGTACTGCAAAAAAATGTAAAAAATTTGGTGTGAAATTTAACATATTTTTGTCCATTCAAATTTTTCTGTTAATTTAACACAAGGTGAATATGTTCAAAAGTAACATAAATATTATGTAAAAAATTAACACAAAATTAATACGAGCCCTCATACGTTAATCGATACTGAAGCGTAAAATGTATGATTTTAATACTTATTATATATGTTTAATATCGATAAAATGTTGAAATAACATAAACGCAATATATTAAATTAACACACGGATATATGAAAAATTTTAACAAGGACCGATTTTAACACAAGTACAAAATATGTTTTATTGCATAGACCTCAACAGTTGAGCAAATGCGAAAAGTGAAACTCATCATTCTCGGAGAACAGAGAGCGTGCCGAAGTGCCTCTTCGATACATAAATATTAATGTTCATCACGTTTTTGCAGAATGTCCAGCCGTATTAATGACGATATAGCCATAACATAAATAACGCCATTACACAGAACGGCACTCAGGTCTCCGGAGAAAACGTCACGTCGCCGACGTCGATCGCTCTTAATTTTGAGCGGAACGCGAGTCGGTATTTCCCACCGCCGTATCCACCATAATATAATGCATCATTAATAGTATGCAGATAATGGCGTTAAGCGAAGGAAGAAGGGCGAGAAAAGTGAACAATGCAAGATAAGGCGCACGTGAAAGCACATTTTAACGGCGAGGAGTATCAATCACTCTCACTCCCGGTCGAGGAGCATCGCACAAAGGACTCGACGCCAACTTCGCTCACGAAGCCACTTTCTTTTTCGCGGAATTCTAAGCGTCACAGTCAGACTTCCCTCCAGAAAAAGAGAGAGAGAGAGAGAGAGAGAGAGAAAGAGCGTCGAGAATTAATTACTCCCACTTTTCGACGCAATTTTGCTCGCCGTGAGTTAATCGCTATTTCGGGCGAATTCGGCTCGGTACAAATGGTGGCGACTTCCCTCCGGCATTCCGGCCCGGCACAGTACGGACTGAATAAATCGCGCTTTTCGTCGTCTTACGTTCGCAACGTAACGGGGAGAATTGCAAATCGAGATGGTGCTCCGTATCGATGAGGGAAAATACCGGAGATCTGCAACTACATGGATAAACTCTCCCGAGACGCGGCCTAAGTTCCGCGCACTAAAGCCCTTTGTTATAGTGATAAATGCGAACGACATCAGTGCCCGATCTCACGCATAAAATAAAGCGCTAAAGTATTAAGTAAGGCTTACGAGCGGGACTCATAACGATTCACCCTCTCTCGAGTCAAGTGGCACCCACTTTTCGTCTTTGTCACACTCCCCCTTCGCTTCGTCGCAACGCTCGGCGCACTTTTCGCGAGGGTGACAACGAGGCGAAGGAAACTTTTGTTCGGCGTACACTCAGGTGTCATTCCCTCGCTCGCCGCGTTTCTTCCTCTCTTTCTTTCCTTCCTTCCTTTATAAGCACTCTCGTGACAATCGCGCGACTTTCGCACTTCCGTCTAGTTGCAATCAGGCGTCGAGCTGACGATCATGGTAACGAACACTAATAACGCCGACGGTGAATCAAAAAAGTCCGCATAGATAAAACATTAGACTATTAAGGAGATTAATGTTGCAACGACGCGTACAATCCTCGAATATATCAGCTCTCGTCGGGTGCAACGCGCGCTACTGTTACCGCTCCTTTACGAAGGAAGCGCGCATCTCGAGCGTGCTTTTCACGTAACCACGGAACGGGAACCGAGGCGTAGTTATATCACTGGCAAAGCGTTTAAGCGCTGTGCTCGAGGCAACTCAGGGCGCTAGAAACTGAGTGCCGGAGCAATTATAAGCAACGCCGGAAGTCACCGGTCTCCCCCGCCCCGCCAGCGACGCTCACCGTCGTTGTTCCGCTCGCGTCCGTTGTTACCACCTCTTGCGCGCCACCCTCCGACACCCGTCGCTCTCCGCCTTCACCACCGCGGCGCCCTTCGCGCGCTATCGTGCCCCGGGGGTATTTTGTCACCGCCGTAATTATATTTCTCCCTTCCGAATGATTCCCCGACCAGTCGCGTTGCGCGAAAATATCAATACTATCCGTAGCCGACCAAAGGACTCGGACCGCCGCAGCGGGAAGTGATGTAATGCGCGCGACGTGTATCGAGCGTGTGCAAGACAGTCGATGAACATTGTACGCGTAACGTATCCGTTTCGAAATTGACTCGATTAATCTTTCAGTGCGAAAGGAAGACATTCCAATCATAATCATCAATTATTAACGGGAATACCCTTTAGTTATCAGGTGATACAAAAGATTATTTTTACAGAAAGAGAAAAAATTTTCACAAAGAGCAATATGAAAAAAAATGATATGTAACAGTATTGCAACAGATCGTTAAGAGACAGCAATGGCAAATAATAATGATGGCGATGAAAGTGAATCATAATAATATTATTAAATTATTATGTACAATATTTAAGTAAAATTGAAAACACAGGTGAGCAAAGGCAGATCAACAATTAAAGTGACAACTCTAAATATTTTTGACGGGATGTTAAACTTGAAACGTCCCAATACATCACAGCAATCAATAAAACCATTTAGAACATTAAATACAAAGAATAAATCAACTACAATTCTTCTCTTTTCAAAGACGATTTAGATTAGATGGTGAAATTTTGGCTCGGCGTTTCGCGAGAATAATGTTAAAAAAATCGACGTTCTCTGTGTTAATATTTCAACGGAAACTCTTTCTTTCGGCCGGATTGTAACTCTGTTTTCGTGCATATTATACTCTGTACAAATATATGAGGGTTATTTGAAGAATTTTGCTTCCCCGCAGAAATCACAGTCTTATGACCTTTTTGATTCACCGCGCGTCCCGAATGGAAAATATCGATGAAGTTTTCGGGCGGGGAACGAGCCACAATGGGGACGCGTGAACGCGTAACACGGCATGTTTGCTTAACGCAGAATGCATTGAACTGTGAATACAGATAAACGCGTGGCACCGATGAATAAAGTTTTATCATCACCGCAATAATGCCGCAACACATAAAAGCATCACACCTGAGTTATGTATTATCGCATTCCAGTCTTCTTAATTAAATTTTTCATGTCAAGCGCTGAATATGCAGCGCTCGCTGTCCCATATCTGAATTAATATATCCCGCGCAAAGCGTCACGTTAGAATAATATTGGGTTCCGCAATATACAAACTCGCTGAATTTGGATAGTGTAAAGCAGATTGTTCTCTCTCGGAGAAAAAAGAAAATATTCCCGAAACGGTCCCGTGCTCGAGAAACGGAGAAATTGATATCAATTCAACGTTACGGGATATCTCAAAGCGATATCAAATTACTCGACACTCACGTTCTCTACAGTTGGACTCGGCAGCGTCCATTGCACCGTGGAAGTCGCGGCTGCCGCGCTCGCAGGACGTCTCTTGTTCACGAAGTCCACGGGTAGACTGTAATCGTCGCACAGCGATACCTGCGAACAGAAACAGAAGAAACGATGTATATCAGGGCTCGCTTATTATCATTTCCCATTAGTTGCTGCGCCCGATGAGAATTTCCCCTCGAACTTCCATCGTTCCTCGTGTTCCCTTAATGGAGTTCTAAAGTTTCAAGAGAATGACTCTCATCGAATGACGCAAACTCCGGTAACTGAAAAACTTCGGCCGCGCGCTCTTTAAACTCGTATCAGAGTTACGTGACCGGTTTTGAAAACTGGCTTATTTGATTCTTCCCTCCGTTTGCAGGCGAATATCGCCCCCCGTGTGACCATTCCCGCGCGATAACAATTTATATCGCAGTATTATAATATTGAATTATCGTATCATTACGGGTCTCGGTTTCGATGGAAACTAAATTATCTTCGTTTAAATCCTCGGAACTAAGCAAGCCAGTTGTTACTCTCCCCCGGTACAGTTACAGTTACCCTCGACGTTACCGAGGCACGCACCCGCCTTTGCTCAGGGACAGAAGGTAGATCTGAAATATTGCTGAAAAAGAGTGAGAAGGACGGCCGGCGGGCGAGGATCTGCGCTGGGAAGCAATCGGCATCAAGCAGGCGGAGGATTTCTGCCACTCGACAAATCGCAGGGTAAGCAGCGTCCCCGCGCCCTCGAATCCCCGTCGACGCTGACTGGACCAGCTCATCAGCGATATTTACCGTCTGTCGGAGAATCGATCTATCGATGCGTGCTCTCTCGTCCCGCCCGGCGTACACGGTGAAGCTCCGAACACGGCCTACCACCTACGTCTGCGCATGCATATAAATCGAGACAATCGCGGATCCCCAGGGACGGCTTATCGCGCCGGGGGCTCGGGGGTGGTTACGAGAGTCCACGGGGGTGCGCGTCGCTCGGCCCCGCGCTCCGCGCTCTGCGAAGGGAGTTTCGCTCTCGCGCAGGGACCGCGCATGCAAATGGTTGGCGTTTATTGTGAGAAAAGAGCGCCGTATGAATATGTGAAGTGGAGAACGAAACAAAAAAGAGAGAGAGATATGGAAAGAAAAAAAAAACGGACGAAGATAGAGATAAACGACCGAGGGACAACGGAGGTGGGGTGGGGATTGACCGGTTTTCGCGAAGGAGCGGAAATAGCCGCGGAAAGTATCGGCACGCTCTCGTGCCCGTCGAGAAATGATGCAGTTGGCTGGTGGACTTAGCGTCGGTGTAAACGGGTGTAAACGGGATGGAAAAATCAGTTTTGCAGTGAACGCTAAAGTGTAACCGGCCGACTCGGGTAAGTTATTTTGTATGTTTTCATCATGGTGAATGTTGTGCGCGTAGATCCCAAAATTTTCCCCACATCGATAAGTCGCAGGATACTTTCGAGGTGTAGTTTAAAGTAGAGCGAGAACGTGTGTGGTCGGCCAACAATTACGCGGCGGCCGATACGGTCAGCATCATATATATTGTACGCCATATATTCCCTAGACGGAGAGTTACATGATTTTCAGCCTTACACGATATGATCAGTGAAGTTTGCAATATTTTTTCCGATGGGTTTCGCGAAGCAACTCGTATCCCAATGGGAAAATTACTCAAAAAAATTAATTTTCTTGTTGAACCGGGGATACGTTTCGAAACTTATAAAAAAAACCGTTGCAACTTTTTTGTCGCTGATCATACATACAAAATTGAAAATCGCAGAAATAACTCTAGTTATAATGATAGAATTATATAACGGCTCTAATTATAAATAGTTTCGATCTTATATAGGCTAGTTGCCGAAATCGTACTATTAAGGCTATTTTTATGATATTTGTATCATACAGAAAACACGATATAATTTGTTCATACTTTATTTATGTGTTATCGTTCTTTTATTTTATATATTTACCATTGGATTGCACTGATATTCCATAATTATAGAGAAAATTGTATAATAAAGTACGACTTAGGTGGCTGGCACGAATTGGGCGATACTTTCCTACATGTGGAAGGCTAAAAATCGTGCGGTAGGAAAAAGTTTCAATCTGGGGAATAATACAGCGTATATGGTGGCGATTGTATAACCGAGTGATTACACTCGGATGGGATAGATCGTCATTCGGTCGCTGCCGTTGGGACATGTAATTGAAGCTAAGCGGTGTAGTTTTACGTACTTCAGCGGCTTCAGAGCGAGCACCTGCCCCAGACTGAACTGGAATCGTGCACCGGTTGGTACTGCGAGGAAGCCAAATGCGAACTAGGACGGCACGGTAAGACGTGCGCACCGGAAGAAATTCGAGAAAACCGCCAATGTCTGCCGATGGCGGGGATCGAGGATCGCGTTTCGCGTCATCTCGAATTTTAATCGCGCCCCGTCAAAAGCGCCCGCTCGGAGGTATCGGCGAGCGGTGTGCGAATGTTGATTCTGCGCGGAGGAGCATGTTCTTTTTTTCTTTAACTCCGCATAATTATATTTGTATTCCATGGGGCTTATGAGTTATTCATGAATTTCGCATTACAATGTGACGCGCGGCGCGTACCCACGCGCATCTAGCCGATACGGCCGTAAATCACACCGCGCGTAATCCTTAAAGTTTGCCGAAATAGATTTTCCCCGGTGATCCCCGGTGTCTCCCCGGAATGATTTGTTTTCCCGTAAATCTTCGACGCAGGCGTGAATTTTTCCCGGCGCTTGTTATTGAGTGAGGTCGAAAGGCGCGCTCTCCCAGGCCCTCCCAGAGCTTCTATCCCGCGGCCTGACGTTTTATAAAGTATCTATCGCGCTTGTGTGTTCGTGCTTATCGCGTTCTCGAGAGAGGACACGACGCGCGCGCTCCCACAGTTCCGCGGGTTCTCGCGTTTCCGCGCGGCACTTTGCGCGGTCGAGATTAAGCCGGAATATTTAGCAAATGTTTCACATAAATCAAAGCGACGCAATATGTTCGGAGTTCGAAGCGAAGCTATGTAAATTCATGGTAATGCCGCTGGCCACCCTGCAGCGAGGAGTTTCGATTCCAGCCGAGAGGGGGTAAAGAGCGCATTGGGGGACGAGAGCAAAGAGAGGGAGTCGAGCGCGCGGTAGCGAGAGCAGAAAGGAGCAGGGAAAGTCCGAAAGGAAAGAGAGAGAGAGAGGGATCGAGTGGTTGCGAGAGGAAGAGGGAGACGACGAGGGCGACGAGCGCGTATTTCATGAACCCCTAAAGCAGCCCTGAGCATTGCGGCGACCGCCACAATCCCATTCATTCTCTTTATGGGCTCCCAAGTATTCGGGAGCGGGCTTGAATAAATCGGAAATTTGCCCCGCGGGGAGCAGCTCGGCCCTTCTCGCGATTTGCCTGCGACTTTCGGCCGGTCATCCTCGAACCATCGGACGCTTCGTTTTCGCGCGTGATGCGCGAAACTGCGATCGTTAATCCCAAACCGGTCCGCCTGGAGGCCGCGCGTGAATTGTTCGGACGATAACGCGAGCTTTCCGACGATCATACGTCATATGATAACAATAATAATTTAGCAGCTTCCCTTAAGTGGCATACTTCGGCGATCCAATCAATATTCTCGCATAATAGGCGAGTGCTTTCGCGGTTACGACGGTCTAGTTCGACTACCGCGGTAATAGAAAGGGATATTAACGATTGTGCTCGCCGGGCCCCGGTCATGTGAACCGGAATGTTTATTCCGAGCGAACTTCGACACATTCCCGACCGTCGTTTACGAGCGCTCGTCGAAACTCTGCGGCCGCTTTAATTCACTTCATTAAATATTTCGCATCCTCGCGTCGAGAGAGAGAGAGAGAGTTTCGAGCTCGCGCTCTCGTAAATCCGATTTCAGGAACGATAACGTGTGCAAAAGCGCACACAGGGGTGCGATGTATAATGCAGATATCTTCTTTAAAATAAGCGTGCACGTAAAATTGCACGCGAATGCGGAAGCAACACTGACGCTGAGCACAATACTCCCGATTATATCCGAAGTGCCGTTAAATCGCGACGCAGTGTACCGGCTGAATTGTACAAACAGATCGATCACGATGACATAATTAACCCTAACCGGGAAGGGTTACACGACTTGAATAGTTAAGGGTGCTGATGCCTCCGTAGAATCCCTAAATGCCGGTCGGCGCTTCGAGAGAGCGAACGAATTTGCATCTGTGGTTAACGAATAGCCGTCTCGTTTTCATTCTCCTACCGAGTACGCAGCGCGCAAAAAGAAGCGGCGTTTTGCGCACATTTGTAAATTAACATCGAGCTAAACTCTCGTCTTAATTACCTCGTCAACTCGGCCGGTCGCCGTGATTGCATTCTTCAGTGCTGCCTCGCCACGAGAGGCAAACGAAACGCGACACGCTCCTCGGCGCCACGTTGGACGAGCCAGGCCATAAAGCACGCCGTAAAAGGAACTAAAGATCGATGAACAGGGCTAACTATGATTGACGACGAGCGAAAGTACGCACCCGCCGGCCGCACGCGGTCTCTTCGGGGACTCGCTCGTCTCATTTTCCGCATTACGGCGATCCGATTTATTCTTACGCCGCGAGATAAACACGTTAAAGTTTCGCGAACTCCGCTCTCCGGCGGAACACGGATAGCGAATTCACCCGGGGCTATTCGATGTCCTCCTCCGATAGCAACGTACGTCGGCCGCCGACGACCCGATATCTTCTTCATCGGGTATTTCCCATACGTGCTCATCGTTCTTCTCTCTTATTTTCTATTTCCTTTCTTCTCCCGTCGTCCCCGTTCGTTAGACGGCGCCCGGGGCGGCCCGACGATGACGAGTTGAAAAATCCTCCTCGATATATTCGCGAAGATGACGAGGCGCACGAGAACCTTGAACCCTGAAATCGAGTGGTGGACGACGGCTGCGAATCGGCTGCGCGACGATAAAAGGGAGCCACATAAAGAGGGATCCATCGGCCTTGGAATTTATCATCGAAAGATCCTCCCGTCGCGTTTCTCCCACATTGCGCGACAAGAGATCTCTTCGAAGAGGCGTTAATGGATTTCGCCTCACCCGGCGATTGATGGTTCGATCGATTTCGCGAAGAAGAGCG